TAAATGTCTTAAATTAAGCAGTAAAGATTGCTTGCCCTATAGAGGCATGGGTTTTGTTTATTTCACTTAATTTTTTTATTTTTCAAACCGCTTTCCACATGTAGGGTTGTGGATTATTTTTCATTTAATTTAATTTAATTTGTTATTTTTCATCCATCAATCCATTTTCCAAACCGCTTTCCATATTTTTTATTTTATTTTATTTTATTTTATTTTTCAGCTTGCATCATGACTGTATATTGTAACTTGATGTAACGGCTCCTATTTTCAAGCATACTAAACTGATTTTAAGAAATGTGACGTCATACTCTCGTCCACTGAGGAACTCGAATGCAATATTCATGCGTGTTGTGACTGTGTCCAGCTCGCCCATCGATTCCCGTCCAGCGCCTCTGGATCAGCACTATCTGGTGTGTATATTATTGTGTTACGTGTTTTATTTATATCAGACAGGGATCAATTGTGGTCAATGTTAATGCACTTTGTCTGAATTACACCAGGAGGAGCTGGAAGCTGTGTTTATATTTGCGCTGGCCGGAGATTGAGATGACAGGTTTATTTCAGGGATCTTCTCTACACTTTTAGCATCATTTCATTTGTGCATCCCTCATAAAACAGATACTGTATTGACATTTCAGAGACCATATGAAACCAGCCTAAAGGCCTGATCAAGGCCAGATTTTTTTCCTAACAAAGATCAAAAAGTAATTTAAAGAAATAGTTCAATCAAAAACAAACATTTGCTGAACATTTACTCACTCTCAGGCAGATGAGTTTGTTTCTTCATCAGATTTGGAGAAATGTAGCAGTGCATCACTTGCTCACCAATGGATGTGAATGGGTGCAGAATGAGAGTCCAAACAGCTGATAAAAACATCACAATAATCCACAAGTAATCCACAGCACTCCAGTCCATCAGTTAACATCTGGAGAAGACAAAAGCTGAAACTAATCCAGCATTAAGACGTTTTTAACTAAAGTACGAGTCCATAATCCATAACAATGCTTCCTCCAGTGAAAAAGTGTTCTGGTCTGAATCAGGAGAGAAATCTGCACAGATCAAGCACCGTTTACAAGCCAAAACAGCTCTAAAACAAACAGGAGATGGACTTTTTCATAGCTGGAAGTGACGATTTAAAGTTAAAAGCGTCTTAATGCTGGATTTGTTTCAGTTTTTGTCTTCATAAAATGTTAACTGATGGACTGGAGTGCTGTGGATTATTGTGATGTTTTTATCAGCTGTTTGTACTCTCGTTCTGACGGCACCCATTCACATCAATACACTCAAAAAATATTTAGAGTTAAATTTAAGATTTATGTATTTGAATTGCATTTAAATGTTCCATCCATTTGCATAATAAACTTAATATGATGCATATTTGTCAGTCATAAATAAATGAAACTGTCCAGTTTTTTTCCATTTCTGGGTAACACTTTATTTTAAGGTGTCCTTGTTACACACGTTACATATACTTATTATTATAATAACAATTAATTATGCATAATTACATGCAAGTAACCCTAATCCACACCCTAACCTTATAATAAGTACATGTAGTTAATTCATATTACTCAGTATTTAAATGCATAGTTACACTGTAACAAGGACACCCTAAAATAAATGGTAACCGATTTCTGTAATAGTACTAATAAACTGAAAGTTTTAAATACACATAAATCTCATACATTTTAACTAAACTCAGTATTGCTTGTTCCACAGCTAGCCATATTTTAACCGTAAATTAAATTGTTTTCACAATTAACAGATTTATGCTGATTGTAAACAATTTGAATGAATGCTTTTTGAAAATATGATTACTTAAAATAAAATTGTTTTAAAATAAAAAACTGTTTGACTGATAAATATGCATCACATTAAGTTTATTAGTTTGTTAAAACGGTGTAATCTAAATGGAATCTTATTTTCATTTAGTCTAATGGATATTAATTTCAGCTTTCTTGAGCAATTTGTTGTGTATTTGGTGTGAAATGCTTGTCTGAGATGGTTTAACCTGATTTAACTAGTCTCCCAAGTTGTATTTCAGCTGGTTTTTGTCCAAAACACAAACCATCTAGCATTTTTACAGTCTTTTACCGTTAAATTCACGGTAATTTTTTACAGTGTTGGTATATTAACATTATATCAGTTAATGAAATTAGGGTATTAAACTGTACATTTAAGTTAAAACCGTAAAACCTAAAATGTTGCTACCGTTATTTTTTACGGTAAAATTCCGGCAACAACCGCTGCCGTTTTTTTACCGTAAATTTTACGGATTTTTTTTTTACAGTGTGGACTTTAGCATAGTGGCTAGATAAGACCAGCAAACTATGGTAGACCGGTTTAAAGGGATAAAAATGCAAGGGAAGTCAATGGCTACCATCAACTCTTTGGTTCTTCGAAATATCTTCTGTGTTCAACAGAAGAAAGAAACGGGTTTGAAACAAGTGGAGGGTGAGTAGACAATGACAGAATTTTCATTTTTGGGTGAACTGTCCCTTTAAGTTGGGGTTTTCAGCTCACCTGAGTTGTGTGTGTGTGTGTGTGTGTGTGTGTGTTTGTTTGTTTGTTTGAGTTTATCAGTCTCTCATCTACCTCATTCTCTGGCCTACTTCTCCTCTCTTTTCCTCTCTTTCACCCTGATGATGTTTATTCCAGCGTTAAACAGTCCCGGCCTACACACTCCGCTCAGCGTTACGGCATCTGCTAAGCATCCGAAATGCAACTGTGTGTGTGTGTGTTTGCCGGGTGTCATTACACGCTATAATTACACCAGCATCTGTTCACTCACTGCCAGCTGTGGGCTCTTGGGAAGATGTGAACTTGTGTTTGTAGTCACCCTGAGCGCTCAGATCACTCGTAACTCTGAGCGTCTCTCTGGCTGATTCCAGATCACTCAACCTCTGGATCCTTAACAGCGGTTAAATGATTATGCTAATGTGTTTGGATTTTGATGAAGCGTCCTGAGATCATGTCTAGCAGCAGGTTTCCATCAAGTCTGATTCACAGACTCGTGTCGTTCCAATCACAATCATCACGTCGTCACAGATAGAGGCTTTTGCCGTTCGAGGTGTCTGGCTTTAGTTACTCGCGCTCATGTGAGCGTGCCATACACGCAGCGCTTAAACAAAGACATCATTCAGCTCCGGAGATTCCAGACCCTCGTTTTCCACAAACGTGTCCAGGCAGTTTCCCTGCATGCATTTCACACACTATATTGTGTAAGTGCTGGAAAACCAGAGTGAAAACTCTCGCTTACTCATTTATTCTGAATGACATGATGGTTCTTTCTAACATTTCTTGAATATGTCTCTATCTCTCTATCTATCTATCTATCTATCTATCTATCTGTCTGTCTGTCTGTCTGTCTGTCTGTCTCTTTGTCTGTCTCTCTGTCTGTCTCTCTGTCTGTCTCTCTGTCTGTCTCTCTGTCTGTCTCTCTGTCTGTCTCTCTGTCTGTCTCTCTGTCTGTCTCTCTGTCTGTCTCTCTGTCTGTCTCTCTGTCTGTCTCTCTGTCTGTCTCTCTGTCTGTCTCTCTGTCTGTCTCTCTGTCTGTCTCTCTGTCTGTCTCTCTGTCTGTCTCTCTGTCTGTCTCTCTGTCTGTCTCTCTGTCTGTCTCTCTGTCTGTCTCTCTGTCTGTCTCTCTGTCTGTCTCTCTGTCTGTCTCTCTGTCTGTCTCTCTGTCTGTCTCTCTGTCTGTCTCTCTGTCTGTCTCTCTGTCTGTCTCTCTGTCTGTCTCTCTGTCTGTCTCTCTGTCTGTCTCTCTGTCTGTCTCTCTGTCTGTCTCTCTGTCTGTCTCTCTGTCTATCTGTCTGTCTGTCTGTCTATCTATCTGTCTGTCTGTCTGTCTCTTTGTCTGTCTCTCTGTCTGTCTCTCTGTCTATATGTCTGTCTATCTGTCTGTCTGTCTGTCTGTCTGTTTGTGTCAAACGAAACAAGTGATGCTTTTTATGGGTGAGTTACTGAATCATTCATTCAACCGATTCATTCATAAACACAGATTTATTAAGGAACAAAATTGAATGAGTGAGTCATCATTCATTTCTCCGATTCGTTCAGAAACAACACAGAAGTAGTTAATTCTGCTGTTGCTTCATTCGGAACTCCTTTTATTGTAAAAAAAAAAAAAAGTAATGGGCAATACTGTGTCTGAAATGCACATGCATAAAAGCATATTCACAGTTGTGCTGATCATAGGTCAGTTTATATGACGTTTGTTTCTGTGGTTGTCGGTTTAATGAAGGCAATTGCCTTCACACATAGCAAGATTTACAGCATCAGTTCAGATTCACGGGCGGCACATTAGTATTCCTCGTCAGTTCCAGCGATTGTGAGGAGCAGAACTGATCAGATATTGAGCAGCTTTCAGAAACAACAGCTAAAAGCAGTGAACGCGCTCACCTCTGAGGTGAAAATATGCCTCCCGAACCGCTGACTGCGCTGTTTTTGGAACAGGTGTCCAGAAAACCCTCTACAAAATGAAATTCTACAAAGAGGAAATAGTTTATTCATGAGGCCACGCTGGGGCACTGACAATATTTTGACATTCCTTTTCTCTGTGCGGCCAAACTCTGGAATCGCTGACCGCATATACTGTTCCCCTCAGGCTGTTGTTTGGCGTTTTGATGTGAAGTGTGTACGTGATGTGTGTATATTTCTGTCTGCTTCAGTGTGCTGATGTATAGTCCTCTCTTTTTTATTACTTTCTGTCTAGTGAACAGACTCTTTTCTCTGTTTCTGGTTTTGTAAGCATTTTTTCTCCAGCCAATGGGACAGATGCAGTATCACTGTCAAACCAGCGCTGACCACCTGCAATCCTTAAAATCCATAGCAACACCCTAGCAACCACTTTGTTGCTACAACATAGCAACTCCCTAGCAACTACCTGAATGCCTAAACAACCACTTATCTACGTCCTGAAATCCAGTCACAGCACCTTAGCAACTGCATAGCAATCACCCAAAACAACTTAGCAATTGCATAGCAACGCCCTAGCAACCACCTAAATAACTAAACCACATAGCAACTCCCTAGCAACCACCTGAACACCTACAAAACTACATAGCAACTCCCTAGCAACCACCTGAGTAACCAAATCACACATCAACAACCTAGCAACCACCTAGACACCTAATCATTCACATATCAACACCTTAGCAACCACCTGAATACCTAAACAACCACATATCTACACCATAGCAACCACCTGAACACCTAAATAAACACATAGCAACTCCCTAGCAACCGCCCGGACACCTAAACATTCACATAGCAAATCTTTAGCAACCACCCGAACACGTGAGCAACCACATATCAACACCACATGAACACCTAAACAACCCCCTTGCAACCACCTGAGTAACCACATATCAACACCTTAGCAACCACCTGAATACCTAAACAACCACATATCAACACCTTAGCAACCACCTGAATACCTAAACAACCACATATCAACACCTTAGCAACCACCTGAATACCTAAACAACCACATATCAACACCTTAGCAACCACCTGAATACCTAAACAACCACATATCAACACCTTAGCAACCACCTGAATACCTAAACAACCACATATCAACACCATAGCAACCACCTGGACACCTAAACAAACACAAAGCAACTCCCTAGCAACCACCCGGACACCTAAACATCCACATAGTAAGTCTTTAGCTACCACATATCAACACCCTAGCAACCAGCTGAACATATAAATAATCCCATAGCAACTCCCTAGCAACCACCTAAGAGAAGTTCACACTACAATTACAAAGATAGCAAAACGTTATCATTGGAATCACTTTCAGAATCACTTTTTTTTCCAGATGATGAATGATAAAAACATCGACAGCCCATCAGAATCCAGTTTAAAGAGCTTGAGGATTTAAAGTGGCAGACAACAAAACTGCAGCGCATGCTTATAATAGACAGAACGTTATTTGTTAAAGTGAGTTTGTTTCTTGATTCTTGTTTTCAGCTTGTTTTGAACTTTGAGTTTTGAGTTTGAGCAATGTTTGCTTTCATAATCTTTCAGATAAATGCGCCATCTCTGAAACAACTTTCCTTTTCAGATGATGTCACAGGATGCATTTGATGGCAGAAAGAAGCCATGCAACGTAAGGGTGAGTAAATGATATTATACAGTATGCATGAATGCTGAAAACTCTGAAGAAATCTCCATGCAGAATACAATAATTTTTTTTAATTATTGCTAAAATATTCATATAAAAATGATTAACTTAAAATTATATAAAAGTATTTCAATTTACATTTATTCATTTAGCAGACGCTTTTTTCTAAAGTTACTTACAAATAAGGAAAACAAGGGATTATATTATATTATATTAATATATTTTTAAATAATGTAACTCATCACCCCACAAATGAGGAAAACAAGCAATTTATCTTATATATTATATTATATATTATATTATATTATATTATATTATATTTAATAAAATGTATTTTATATTTAATGAAAGTGATATTTATATATAGTCATGTCATTGCATATATATTATATTACTAGATCTTGGTGCCACATTAGCAACAATAGTTCAATTTAATAAAAATATTGTTTAATAATGTCACCTATCACCCCACAAATGAGGAAAACAAGTGATTTATCTTATATATTATATTATATTATATTATATTATTTGATAAAAATGCATTAAATAATATAACTAATAATAAGACTGGAGTAATGATGCTGAAAATTCAGTTTTGATCACAGAAATAAATTACATTTAAATATATATTCACATAGAACAGTTATTTTACATTGCAAAAATATCTCACAAATTTTACTGTATTTTTGATCAAATAAATGCAGCCCTGCTGAGCAGAAGAGACTTCTTTAAAAACATGAAAAAAAATCGTAATTATTCCAAACGTTTTGACCGGTAGTGTAGTGTTGATGAGCTTTTAGAAGATATGCACATTCAAAGTTGGCAAAATTCTGCAAAATCTGATCTAACTGCAGAAAGAGTTGAGATGCAGCCGAGATCTCACGTGTGGTTTTTAGTTTCTATGAGAAATGATTGCCGAGGGTTTTGTGGAGATGCATCCAAACATCCAGTGAGTTCTGGAGCTGAAGCGTTGACACGTGAAAGTGTGATGTTTGTCTTCATCTTGGCCTGCGCTGCTGAATCACGAGCGGCTTGTGTGTTTGTGAGGCAGACCGAGGCTCATTTAATGCGTGTGTGTAACTCTGACAAACACTCAGCCGCTCGTTCGCTGCTGTGAAAAGCAGTAAAGGCGTAAAGAGCCCGTGGATCCGGCTGTCGTTACCTTCCCTTCCAGATCTTCTACGGATGGACTACCAGAGCTCTTTCTTTCTCAGAGGGTCAGCCGTTCTTACTAGAGCTGTGAATGTGATGCATTCATTTAGTGCAGTGAATTATACAGTATATAATATAAATTACGCAATTAATCATGCCCTCTGGTCTGCTATATATTTTTAAATTAATAATAATTTATATTGAGTATAAAGTAATTCAGTAATCATTATCAAATTATTTACTCCTGGTATTCTACATGTTTTATTGAACCTGAAACATTCCTTTAACAGCCTGGATCAACAAAATCTACTCTAATTAGACGCATTCTGTGCCTTGTTAATTTCCCAGAAACTAAACTGACTGAATTCTACATGCTTTTGCATTTATTCTTACTGTGAACATATTCGTTTTTATACAGTCTATGGTTTTCATGCTGCACTGCTGTGAGTTTTATGTTCTAGGATCCCAGCAGAGCTGGACTTCCAGAATTTTCCGGGATTCCTGGATTCTGGAAGGCTGATGCTGGATTCCATCTGTCTGGCAGCGAGCCTCCGGCTTTCATGGATAAGTGGCTCTGGCTGCTATGAAAGACATGTCGAATGAAGTAGAGGAGTGAGAGAGTGTGTGGGCCTGTTCCCAACTCTCTCACACACACACACACACACACTCAGAGTCTCAAGTGTTTCAGATGGAGTCAAGCATGAATGATCACAGTATGTTCAGCACATAAATACAGTACAGAGGGTGCCGCGGGTCTCGGCTCTGGCTTCACTGTGGATAATGTTCAAGCCACATTTTTCTCTTCTTCATTGACTTCTGTTGCTGTGTTTAGCCCTAATATATATTATACATATATTGTAGATTACTATAATATTTTTCCATAATTTTTTTACATTGCATATAATTTAAATTATGTATATAGTGTTTTTTTCCAGGTATTTGTTTTTACATTATATAACATTTGCGTTATTAAGCTTAAAAGCTCGAGGCCTGTGTGCTGGGCACACTCAAATACATCCTGATCGGCTCGGGGCACATTGTAACGTGTGCCAATGTGGGACATTTTATTTTATTATATATACATTTGTATTTTATTTTATATTTTATTTTATTTTTTATATTTTATTTGAATTAAATTTTTTTAAAATAACATTCAGATACAGGGTTATTACAGTCAACTAAAACTAAAACCATAAAAATAACATATTTGTTAATTGAAATAAAATACTATATATAAAAAACTAATTTTATTTCAGCTAATTGCCAAAGCAACATTTCTCATTTTCAGTTATTTTAACTTGAATTACTACAATAACTAAATAAACAAAAACTAATAAATAAAAATAAAAGAACATAAAAAAAAAAAAAACTATGCCTATGAAAATGACAAAAAAAAAATTACTAAATGAAAATGTTATTTCTGAATATTCTCTGAAATGTTTTTAAAATGTTTTTCTCGGTTATGCAAACGTTAAGGGAACGTTCAATTTGATAGTTTTGCAAACATTACGTGAATGTTATTTTTGAATTAACGTTCTGAAACTAGAGGAAACATTTAAAAAATGTTAGACGAATGTCCAACTAAAATGCTCCAAAGTAACAGGATATTCAAGAATCTGTAGCGTAAGAATTTATTTCAATTGAAAAGTCGGCGCTTCAAACCATTATTTACATTTAAAGCTTCAAACTTTATCATATCTAGCTTTTTTTTTTTTTTTTTTTTTTTTTTTTATTATTTAAATATAAAAAAGAAACACAAAGTTATTATATTTAGCAAAAACTAAAACTATAAAAAATAAAATTTTTGTTAATTGAAATAAATGTTAACTGTTAACTAATAAATAAAAAAAAGAATGTTATTCTATGAATGTTCTGAAGCAAGTAGCTACAAATAATGTCAGACGAACATTCTAAACATTCCATGAATGATGTATAAGTAATGCTTTTGTGCTAATGTTTTGAGAACATTAGTGAAGACCAGATAACTTTAAACTAATACTGATGTTACAGGATGAATGTTTGTGTTTGAGCGGCACACACACACACAGAAGCAATCAGTCTTGTGTGTAATAGTTGAAAGAGCAGGATCTCTGGACACATATTGAATTGATTTTACTCTTCAGATTGGCGCTGCAGTGAAGATTTCATTCAATCTTATGCTTCACGAGGTTAAATCCAAAGGTGTGTGCTTATGCTGTCAATACATAAAGCCTATTGACTTCCTGTAGAAAGCCTGTAGCTGTAATCTATGCCTGCATTAACTTCTGTAGCATGTAAATCAAAAATGATTTAGTTTCTCAATGCATGTTTCTAGACTTATTGGTTTCGGGATTCAAACATTTTTCCGAAAAGTACACGAGTAAATACATCCGATTATTTCACTAAAACGGTTGCAAACACTATTTTCACGTTGACTTAAAATCCAAAAATGCAGTTTATGTTCAATTGGCAATATTTCAAATATACATGCATAGCTCGTTTCACTTCCATCATTTGATGTTTTTCCAAATGTAACTCGTTCAAGAAGAAAATATGTATATTTTATTTATGGGGAATTGATTTGATGCTGAAAAGTAGACACTTCATACCATTATTTGCTTTTAAAACTTTATATCTAGTTTATTATATCTATACATAATTTGTCTCTAATTTGCATAATATAATGTATATAATTTAGATATAATTTGCACAAGAGAAACATGCAGAAACGGGGTTTTAAAACTAAAACCATAAAACTTTTTTGTTAATTTTAACTTTAGGTACTAAAATAACTAAAACTAAATTAATTAAAATTATAAATAAAAAATATAGAAACTATTTTTTTTTTTTAACTATATAGATGTATTTATAAGAATAATTTTAAAAAATGCTAACACACTCACACACACTCTCACACACACTCACACACACACACACAGGAGAAACACAGCCCCCCCATACTATGGAAGTCAATGGGTACCGGCAGCTGTTTGTTTCCCAACATTCTTCAACATATCTTCTTTGGTGTTCAACAGAAGAAAGGGTTAGACATGATTGGTTCTTCAGAAAGTCTTGTTGA